CAAAGGAGGGGAAAGACAGCGGCAACACTGGGAGTGGTTCTTGGTCCTGGGCCCCTACTAATCGCTCAATCCCTCCAGGTGAGTAGGGTGTCACTGGGGGGGGGGGGGGGCGCACTACATGGCGCTGCCCCCATTCACACAGTTCCTCTGGGACCCTCCAATTCATCTCCAAAGCCCTTGCTATTCCACCAGCCTCCCCTTTCACTGCAGTCTCAAAGAGAATCCCTCTCAGAGCACCTGACCTCATCCCTTCCAGGGATTTCCCCTCTTTTACATCTTTAATATTCCCATTGTCACTAGACAGACCTCAGCGCCCCCCTGCTCCCCACTCCCATTCAATGTCCCTCTGCAGCACCTCCTGCCTAGCTATAGAAGACACTGGGGTAATGAATTTTGCATTCACACTTTCTCACTTACATGTTTAAAGTGACCACCGTCCCTTTGTTATTCAACAAGTATCTTATTAGGAGACACTGTACTTAGTTAGGGACTGGTAGAAAGGAAAAAGTAGAAATATGACCTTAAGACATTTTCCCCCATTCATACACTGACATTTTAAGAGAGAGACAGAGGAAGATGAAAATAAGACAATATCCATAAAAATGTGTTGTGACGCTGAGGGAAACGCTACTGGAAGAGGGGACCAAGAGGCCTTTTTCTGCCTAAGGAATCCTAGTGGAGGTTGCACCTCGAGTGTTTCCTCTCCCGCGTCCTTCTAAACCACTCTATCCATTAAGTCTTGAGCACTCTTCCATCATATTACTCTGGTTCTGAAAAATCTGCAACAAGTCCCCACTAACACATCAGGGCAGGGGACTCTGGCCTGGGAGCTAGTCCCAGCCTGCCTGGAAGGTCATTCACACACGGGTCCATCAGCTCTGGTCAGGCGTGATCTGTGCAGCACATTCCAGACATCTTGCAATTTCCTGCCTCCAACCCTCCTCCCATCAAGCCAGTGGCCACGCACGGGCCACCAGATATGGTTGTTCAATGTACAAATTGTACAGCCGTATGGGACAGCCTCTCTGTTCTCAATAAAACATTTTCCATTTTAGTAGATTATAGGTGATTTTTCAAAAATATTTTCTCCATTTTCTACAATGGACGTGTACTCGGTATCTAAAAATTGAGGGAGAAAAATTACGCATGCGAAAAATAATCCATTCTACTCTTCAGACTCTTAACACAAAGGCTATTTTCTCTAAGAAGTCTTTTCTGAATTATTAAGAAGGAATCTGTACTAATGCTTGTTCTTAAGACCTCGACTTTTAGGACTTTAGACATACACCTTCTTGTATCCACAGCTGTACTTTACTGCCCCCCAAACCTCCATTATTTGTTATGTGGTGGGTATTTTATTAGGGGCTCTACCCATGTCATTTTCATTTAACCCCCACCAGGAACCTATACGGCTGGTATTACCATCCCTGTACTATAGCAAGGAAACTAATGTTGGATAACTTGTTCGAGGGAGAAAACTAACCTAGAGCTTTTGTAGGTTTAGAGTTAAATTCAGTCTAGTCTGGCTTCCAAATTTTTAACTACAAAATACTTGGCAACTGATAACTGCTTTTTAATGTTACCCTCTGAGAGTCTTAAGGAGGGAGATAATATCTTATTCATCTTTATACTCACTTCAGTGCCTACCCCAGGTATCTCCCACAGCTGCAAGAAATCAAAGACCCTTCTATAATTAAATAAAAGATCTAGGGGCCAGCAGTTACAATGCTGGACTCCTACATGGCCAACTGTGGTTCCAGTCCCAGACCCGGTGTCTTGAAACTCAGGCCAGACACCTGTGCATACATGCTCAAGATCCCAGAAAGAGAATAGAGAAGGGATTGTGGTGTGACCACCCCTAACACCCTGAGGTGGGGGTGGGGGAGTGGGGGGGTATTTCTCACTTTCCCTCTCACTGTTTCTGCCTCCTCCCCCACTTACAGCACATATGCCCTAAGGCAAAAACCTCTTAAAAATAAATAAATAGAAGATCTATTTCTTAAGGGAAAATGATGGGATGTTGATTATAATGGTGTGACTCAAAACAATAGCAATTTCAATAATAAGCCCTAGAAGTTCTAGCTTTACAATGTATCTCAAAGTTATGCAATCTTCCTAGCTCTATTTGCCCCACTCTACTGCCAGACCAAGTGATCTCTTATCTCTGAAATATTTTGCTGTTATTCTTCTCTTACTATCATTCTCAGCAAGCCAAGACAAGACTGTGTGACTCCAATGCCCCCAAGTTGGCCCTTATCCTGGCCTATGAATGATCAGTTCTTGACGACAAGGCTGAATTCCTCTAGTTTTGACATCCCTTCACTAAGAACCCTCCAGCCACATCGGCCTCCAGGGCTGTTCCCTGGGCATGCAATGCTCTTATTCCAGATTGCTTCTTCTCATCACTCAGGGCTCAGCTGCACTACAGTCACCTCCTGAGATGCTTTCTTTAAACACTCTATAGAAGGACCCCTTTGCTACGATCTGTTTCAAGCTTGCCTGTGTAGTTAAAAAGAGCAATAAGAAAACAACTTGCAGTCACTTAAAAAATGTGTATAGTTAGTTCTGTCTCTCAATAAGACTGTGAACTCCAAAGAAGTAGAAATATGTACTACATACTTGGTGCCTGAAACAAGGTAGACACTTTTGGAGTTGCTACTGAGAAAAACTAGGCAATCAATCAATCAAAAATTAAAAAATCATGTTTTATTACCAGAACCTTAAACACTTCAGGTGGCATTATGGAAAGGCCAAACAATCCTATTTGGACTTACTGATGATTAACAACAAAGACTTAGAACTAAACTTAGAAGTTTGAAAATCATATTTCCTTTAAAAAAGGTCTTGCATCCATGTATATATAATTTTGAGATGCACTGAATTTATGACAATGAGTTCTAGAAGGAAACAAAAATATAACTGTACTGATGACATTATTCTAAAAGAGATTTTATAAAATATATTATGATGCTTAATTTCAATAAAAAACAGAAAATGCACATCACTCCCAACAAAAATCAGAAAATACTCAACATCTAATAGGTATTAACTCATTCAATGAATTACAAAGCCTACTTCCTGATTTGTGGGGGGAGGTATTATGCCCTATCCAAGCCATCACTAGCCTTCAGTTAATCCTGCTTTACCTTTTACCTTCTAATAAAGGCTTTTTTTTTTTTTAATGGCTCAGCACTTACCATAATGTGATTGAAATGCCTGCGGTTTGACAACCTGATTACAGTCGTTACACACCACCAAGTAGAAATCATCATGGGCTGGACAGAAACCAAATATTGGCATATCTGCAACAAAGAAACAGAGCATCACTCACTCATCTGGTTCTGATTGGTATGAAATCATTCCAGGGAACAGGACTTTCTAAAGGAGCGCCCCCCTCTCTCTCTCTCACTCTGTATTATATACATACACATACATATACACACACACACACATATTTTATATATATACATACAGACACACACATACATATATGTAAAACGCACCAGGACAAACTCCTCTTTAAAAGTAACTGATGTGCGAGACCAGCAGTTAGCGTAATGGCTATGTCACTGGATTCCCATGAAGTCGACTGTGGTTTGAGTCCCGGACCCGGTCACTTAAACTCACACTGGGTGTATGTGCGTGCGTGCCCAATATCCTGAGAGGAGAATGAAGGAGAAGGGATTGCGACGCGGTCATTCCCCCTGGTGCGGGGGTGGTTTTTCGCTTTCTGTCTTTCTCCGTCTTTCTGGCAAGTGCACGAGCCCTATAGCAAAAACATCTCTAAAAAAAAAAAGTAACTGATGTGGCATACCATAACTATGAATAGAGAAATCAAATCAGACTTACAGAGATACTTTACAAAGGATTAAAATAAAGTGCACCAAAAAAATCACTATTAGGAGGTGAAACAGACAAATCTATTATAATGCAAACAATGAATGCATTTGCACAATAAAGCAACCTTAGATGAACTTCACTAAAGGTTATGGAGAGGAATCTGCAACCATATAAAACGCTTAGTAATTCACAAAGCTGTACCATCTAATGGTTTGATTTGTTTAACTATGCATTCTATTCTATTCCAGCCATCTGGTCCCTGAGTTCTATGGAACAGTTAAGAAAGGAGCAGAGGTTTCATGAAAGAAAAAAATTGCAGGTTTTGCCAGCCTATAATACAAAGAAAATTATTTTTATACTTTTTTTTTAGGTCACAACACCCACTGGCTCTCTTGCTTACACATTGATGCTGCTGGACAAACAGACTGAACTTAGTACAGCATTCCTTACGTTATTATCAGTTTGGTTACCAGAATAGGGCAGGACACAAGTTTTCGGGGTTTTACAATAAGAAGTCAACTTAATTAAAATGCAAAAGTGAAATTAAACTGACTGCATACACACTGAAAGGAAACTGCTATCTGGCAAATATAGTTAACTTTAGAAGTCTCGACCACGAACAATTAACAATCTAGACAACACAGCTACAAGTTCCAATCCAGAATCTAAACTTTTAAATACTTCAAAATTGGTGATTTTAAACAGGTATTTTATACTACATGTACTATTTAGAAAACCAACAATGAACACGTAATTAGCACATTTTCAATTAAGTAAATGTTTTAATAGACCAAAGGGGGAAAAAAGAAGGAAAGATGAAAAAATAAAATCTAAAAAGCTGATTAACATCTGCTTTCTAACCTATAAAGATTTAATTTCACACTTTGTACGACTTGAGTGATCTTGATGGTTTTAAAAGGAGATGAAAATCCCCAAAGGCGGTGGCAAGTGGCCATAATCTCCAAAATATTAAATTACTGATCTAATATGTACACATGGCTATAGCTCTGATCTTTCTTATACTAAACAGCTTTTATCACACTAAATTACGTAGATAGCTAGCTATAAATCTGAAATTTACCAGGATCTAACATGATTCTAAAATGTATTTGCTAACGTGATTACAGAATGCAGTTGCAGCATTGAGTAGTTTCTAAGTCCTTTTAACTCATTCTATCCTCAGGACTACCTAAGTAGATCCCATTGCATCCCCACTCTAAAGGAGAGGAAACTGACTCACAGAGCAGTTAAGTACTCTGTCTAAGGTCAATAGCTAGAATTCAATTCTGGTGTATAATGATGGCCTTAGATTCGGCCAATCTGGAACACCAAAGGCATAACAATCTCTAGACATTCCGACCAGATGCTAACTCCAGTGAATTGGAATGTCAGGGCTGAACACCTTTGACTGCATAAACTGATTAGATAACATTAAGAAGCTTCCAGTAGTCTGCTGAGTTCTGTGACTAAGCTTATTTAATAAAAAATAAGAACCAAACAATGTGCTATTTTCCTTGAAAGCATGCCCACATTTAGTTAAATATAGTACATGTGGGAGAAGGGGAAAGGTTACATCTATGCAATGATATACAAACAATAAGCCATTTTCCATGGCTACAGTTTCTTGATATGACATTTCATTCTTAAAATTAAAAATATATTGCTTTGCCAGATACCAGATACTTCTGGGGACCAATCCCCTATTCCTTTAAAGAAAGGCAACTTAAACAAAATAAAAATTAAAAAACTATACTGATTTTTTTCAGATTCATTCTACCACAATGATGTATATTTAGAAAATTATTCTTTTTTGCCCTGGTTCCTTTGATCCTTTTAAGTATTATAACTAGTGAAACTAAGAGGTAGGGATCATTGTGTAAGGGACCAGGAATCTACACTTCTGTAAAAATCTCCATTTCCTCAATAAGTTAAGATCATTAGCAATTAAAGATGACAGTAATGACAATAATTACAGTAATAAAGAGTTGACATGTATTCAGAAATTATTATGTGATAGCCCACATGTTAAGCACTTTTTATACTGTTTACCTCACTTATTTCTAACAATAACCCTGTAAGTTAATCCTCATTTTTCTCTGTGGAGAAAGGAACTTGTCTAATTTCACCTAACAAGAAAGTGATACCACCAGGACTCAAGTTTGTGTGATCTGTAAGCTCAGTTTTGAATCTTTCATTAACACATTACATCTCCCTAAAAGCATACACACACTCTCAATGCCCATTAGGGGAATAAAACGAGGTATATATAAATCCAGTTCATGCTAACCTATGAAAGTTAATTCCTATTATAAAAACCTAAAGCAACTTTAATTGTAGTTTTCTAAATTCTTTACTGTCAGATATCCTTATTTGGAAGTAAGCTAGAGGACACAAATAATTTAAATAAAATGTCTTCTTGGGGGGGGGCTCTATATCCTTTTTCTGCACTGGGACATTCCAAAGGCCTTAGTAACAGGAACAGTGTGTGGAATGTTGTGGCAACAGATAAAAATGAAATAATTTGTGAGACAGTATTGCATGTTTTTGAATATTTTCAAAGCATAAATTCACAATCAACACACCCACAAATTAACATATGGATCTTGCCCAAACACGAAGAATAACTGAATTTAAAACAGAAAAATAAAAGAATGAGTAAATAAAAATGAATTAATTATTGAATTAAAAAGTTTAAAAATACTTTAAATGTATAACTTATATTTCATTAATTATATACTTAAATGAAAACTTTAAAAAATTGTACCTAGATCTATGGATTCTAAACTAATCTGAAAATAAATATGGATTTTATTGCTCTGTATCTCCTAAATCTTTCTCAGGATTTGGGTCATTCCAACTGTGAGTGGCCCAGCACCCCTATCTAGGTCATTCCATACTTTGGAAGTCCCAGGTCAACAAACTAGAAGGACTCGAACACGTTTAAGTACAAGGACATGTGAATACATGTGCACAGAAACCACAGTCACACATAGAATAATGACCCTTTGCCGGAAACTGGACCTTGAATGGTGGTGAATATACTAGCGATAGTTATTTTGGTGTTGCTGACTCCATTTTGAGAACTGCTCAGCAACAATGAAACCTGAACGCTGAACTAAATGTTAATCTTTCCAGTACCCAGAGTTTCTTTTCCCATGCACCCAAACTTCTACATGCCAAAGGCTCCCATGTTTCTATCTCCAGCCCAGACTGCTCCAAGCTCTTTCTACATTCCCATTCCCAACTACCTCCTAGGCATGACTATCTGGATGTGTACATACATCTCAATAGGGCAAGCATGTCCAAGAGAACTCTGTTCTTGACCTTGCCTTCTTCCTTGTCCCCAACAACCCTTCCTCTTTTGAGTAAATGATACTACTTGCCCTTCAAACAGCTCAAACTAAAGACCCTGGAGTCATCTGTGACTGCTCTGTCCCTGGGCAAGTATGATCACTTCCATTCTAAAACCTCTGTCCACTTCTCTTCACGGCCATGTCCACTGCTGTTAGGGCCTACCACCAGCACCCTCCCACTAGATGATGCAAGAAGTCTCCTAAGGGGTCTACGATGTCCTCCACAAGGCTACCAGAGTGCCTCTTTTCAATTCTCCACCAGATCATGTCACTCCTTTGTGTAAAATTCTCCAGGGGCTCTGTACTACTAGGAATAGAATCCAACCCTTAACACAGCCCTCTAGGTCCTGCCAGATGTGTATCCAACCCTGTACCCGACTCGTCTCTCCTTGGCTTACTCTGCTCCAGGCACACTGACCTCCTTTCTCTCCTCAAACCCAGAAACCTCCTTCCCAGCCAGGCTCTGCCCTTGGTCTTCACAAGATGCCTGGCACATTCTCACACATCAGGTCTCAGCTCAGCTGTCACCTCTTCAAAGGGCTGTTCCCTCCTCCTCTCCAATTAGTCACTCTCTATCACTGGTATTTTAAGAAGAGTGGCTAAGAGCATAGGCCACTCTCTATCACTTTGCATCCTAGTTCCCTAGCTTGAGAGAGCTGTGACCTTGGGCAAGTTCCATAACCTCTTTGAACTTCAGTTCCTTCATGTGTCAGTGATGACCATAGGACTGCTGCATGGGGTGGATAGATTGTTAATACATGCCAGGTTTTAGAAGCGGACCTGGCCCTAGGAAGTGCTCACTCAATGTTTCCCCAGTCTGTGAGGCAGAAATCATGTGCTCCCGCTGCACTGGTCAGATCTAAGGTACCCAGACATTGCAATATCATAAGCTAGTACATGACTTAGCAAGATCTGAATGCCAAGTGTGCCTCTTTCGAGAACTTTCTAGCACTCTCCCTAAATTGGCTGTCACCACTCTTCCTGCCAGTGCTGAGGTTGGAGTTTGGTGGCATCCACTCACCTGGACAGGTCTCCCAACAGGGCTAGAATTTCTTCCTTCTCTGGCGTGAAAAGCTTTTTCCACTTCTCTTTGGCATTCCCACCATTCC